TTAAGCTAGGTTACGTCTCTCGATATATGCATAGATTAAAACGACTTCATTCCTTCGGTTTGTACGTGCGAAATTAGCGAGTTGAGGGTGAAAGCTTCTGCAGAACCATTCATTAGAATTTGGGGAATCGGGAGACAGATAGCGGCGGGATAAGCGCGACCTCGCTTATATTGTGAGAACTTTATATTAATTGAACAAACTGCTAGATGCCGGGCCATATGGAAGGCCTCAACGTGCATGCGTGTGCATCCATGGATATTACATGGACTGAACAGTTTCCAAGTATATTCTAAATGCAGTATTTTTTTCCGTATAGTTTATATTAGTGTCATATACATTGCAAACCTAGCACCATATATGGGGGTCTGAATATGAACCATATATAGTTCCATATTTATTAAGAATGGCCAAAACATGATACGGACTGAACTGTTTCCAAACATTGCTAAATTCAGTACTGTACAATCCTAAACATACGCCTGTATTTGGAAGTTCCGTAAGGGGATGTGGTCCATGAGACTTCACGAATTGTTTAATGGAGGATTCCATTTGAGAACGAAATCGGAATCATGAACACTATTGAGGTGAGGCTATTGGTGTGGGCGGCGAGAGTGTTTCTTACGTGAATCCGGACTTGAGATTAGGAATTATATCGTGCGCGAGACACCCTAATAATATTCAGTACATGAAATTTATGGAATGCAGTGGATCTCTGTCTTCAAAAAAATGCACTCGTTTCCATTATATTGCTCTCTTGCTTTTCTGGTCTACTTGATGGCAAATAATCTACTGTCATGAAATAATGTGAAGAAACAACTATGGTGGATGATATTGGCTTCCATATTTTCAGAAGCCTTTGCTGTTCTTCCCTGCCCTTCACGACCTCCACGTTCAGCTTACTGATCCTGTCATCGCCTTCCATGGGCAGAGGAATGAGAAAGAAGGCCCCAGTTCTTTCCCTGAAAGATTTTGACGAGTAACCGACAATACAGAGCGTCCTTTAAGTTTAGCATTAAGAAAAAAAAAATATATATATATATATATATATTGCGAGAACAGTAAGAGATATGCAAACTGAAATGTGGTACACTAGTTGAGGAAAGTGCAAATATATTTTTTTGCTGGCTTAATAGTACAACGGTGGACATGAAGAAAAACACCCAAACAGGTAATTGGCACATTTTGGACAAGAATTTTCACATTTTCAAATTATATACGTGACATTTTGTTAGTTGCCTGATGTCTTGATGAAGTTGTAATTACAACATTGTCACAACATCAGGGTGACAACATACCACATCCCCCCCCCCCTTCTAAATTACTACTTTTATACAATGTTGTCGTTGTCGAGGATGATTTCGTCCTTTTATTGCCTTTCTCAGCTGTCATGTCTGACTCCAGCCGACATACCAATCCTTCGAATGCTCAAGTATCACTTTAAAAACTTCGGTATAATTCGAATCCTTTCTTTCGCAAATTTACCATAGACCCCAACGCCAAATTTTTGTTGTAAAAGAAAATGGCTCATCCATTCTATTTCCTTTCTCGTTGAAGCTTCAAATACCAGTACTGAGAGAAAGAAAACCTCGGATCTAATTTGATGTCAAGTGGTCAGCACCCAAAGAAAGGATTGGTGAAATCCAACTAAGCAAAAGCATGAGTGCCAGGACTGGTTCGACATAGGCTGTCAGTATCAGACATAACGTTGCAGAGATTCACAGGCCTTACATCCTCGGAACACACGCGGGGGGGGGGGGGACAGAAAGGAATTTCATACCCAGGTGACATTTGAAGAAAACAACTCTTCGAGGTCCTTGTCTTTCCAACCCCCAATATTATTTTCCTTTCCATTAATACAGATGTCCATCAATTTCTTGTCCAGACACATAGTAAGTCAAGCGGTAATATCAGTAATGAAACCTTTGACTCGCCGAGCCGTATAGAAACACAACAGAAACATATTTTCGCAATATATACTTGCATGCTGCGCAGGATGCGAACATATATCTTTCTTCTCGCAAGAGAGGAGGGACAAGGGATGAGAAAGAAAGCGCCGCAAATGAAAACAGTAAAGTAAGAAAAATTGCACCAAGGAAGTTGAGTGCCAGACTTGTCATAGAATATTGTTCATAACTTTGATTTAAGTTAATGGATTTTGGCAGCCTTCTTGTCCTTCAAATAAATGAAGACCAGCTACATCCTCAGCAAATTTTGTGAGATATGAATGAAGCAATCTTTCGATACACTCAAAGTCGTTTGTCTTTTTTTGTCATACCCTGCAGACGCAGGACGTTAACAAAGAGATATTAGATTCAAGCATAAAGATTCTCGATATAATTATGAAAATGATCACGAGGTGAATGAACACAATAGGCCTGAATCCTGAAAATCTGAGTACCAGAAAACACGTGCCCCATGATGGTCGCCATGGCACTCTTACTAGTTCAGAATCATCAGGATCATATAGGCGTATCGTTGAGGTGCGAATTGTCAAGCGAATAAGAAAATAACCTCCCTCATTCCGTTGCTAATCAATAACAATAACAGAGCTTAGCGACAGCATGGTATCTTACCGTGACGACCACTGTGGGATGAATCCGAACAGATTCATCATCCATATTGCTGCTTTACATTTGGCTCGATGAACTAAGTGCACGGGGAACTTTCGTCGGGAAAGGAGGATATGCTTGTTCTTGCTGAACTTCAGTGAGACAGTCAGAAGCCCTCACGCTCCCTCTCGCGATCGCTCGACGTAATAAGATATTTAGTGCCTCCTATCCTTATGAATCTCATAAGAATACCACTTTCACGAGTCTTAGATATCGAGAGGTCTTGGAAGTCGGTCTTTGCCTTCTGGATAAAGTGAGGACTTGTGTAAGGGCAGTTTTTCAGAAAATACGCCCCGTGCACTATTACTCGTGGCGTTTGGGTAACATGGATCTGTTTAGTTTTCTCACGTGCTGAAAGGAGGAAGTAAAGGTAAAACTAGCCCTCTTCGAGCATGATGGAAAATTTTTATCGCCTCTGTTCACATTGCATCCAAAACTTCCTCCAATGGCACGAGGGATTTTATGATGTTGAGAAGTATGCGAAAGCTCAGGGAATCAAAGGAAATGAAATGTGAGCAGTGAATAGAGGAAAACTACGACAGGAATTAGTTATCACAGACTGGATTTAGCTCGTTTTGCATCAATTTAGAATAATAAAAAATGATTCTGGAAGATTTCCAACGTAAATTCTAGGTAGGTAAAGGATATTTATTTCATTGTCGTATGGGACCACTTTTTGTCATGAGTCAGTGCAAATTTCTCTTAGAGAAGATATAGAACATGATGATGCGCCCCCAGAATGGAGGTGGCAAACTGGATGAGATACCTTCTCCATCCTGTATTACAGAATAGCTGTAGTGGAGACCATCTTAGGGAAGGCGAGGGTACGAGGGCTGTTCAATGTACAGGACAGGCGCGCAAAGGACAAGAGTCATCCGGATGAGGACTAAGTGGGTGTGTGTATCTGTCAGCGAATTAAATGAACAGCCCTCATACCTTAATACCACTGGCCTTCGTACAAAAAAAAGATTTAGTGGTCCAGGTCCGTAGACACCAATTTATTGAGAAACGTGGGGGGGGGGGCTCAGAGACAGTACTCCTTGGCAGATGTTCCTCATATTCATGTCCCCCCCCTCCGACCTCAGTAAGATTTAGGTTGCTCTAGAGGTGGTTTTCAGCTAACTGCACCATATTACTAGACCAAGACCTCGACTGTACCGGCAACAACTGCAGCGACAATTTGAAGCAGTTGAATGCATGTAAGCTAAAACACCACTAAGTTGTCAACAATCAGCAGCTCATCTACACAGCTACATTTTTCCCTTATTGATTTTCGCAATTTTAGCCCTTGTTAAAGGACGCTAGAAGGCCTTCCTCAATGCTTCCTTCCAAATTGAAGAGATCAACTTTCCGATGGAACTTTCCAATGACAGCCAAAAATAAAACTCCCACCGCTTCGGTTGGAACTCCTCGCTCCCCATCGACCGAGTTTGAAACTTAAGGCCGCTTCTCAACTTCTTTGTCATCCTCCACTGACATTTTCCTTCTTAAACTAGGGTCATTGGCGTATTTTACGGGGGGGGGCTTCCCCCTGGCGTCCCCAGAGGTAATAATTTTTTCTCGATATCGCTCGGATGGGGTTTGGCGCCCCCGCTCTGTTGCCCTGCCAAAACATCCCCCCCCCCCCCCATTCCTCAGCTAAAATACGGCTTTGACTAGGGCGATTATTTGAGCTGGAAGAGTCTTCACGTTCACCAACTATACGAGGTTTTTTGACAACAAACTTATCCATTACCCTTCAGTTTGTACTAATGACATGACTTGGTCACTCACTGGACAGAGTACCCTGAGAATTGGAGATAAAGCCTACCCATTTGTTATGACTCCTCCCATCGAAGCTAGGACGATGGATCACGTACGCACGACTCATTTCTCAGAGCTGACAGTATCATTCGCAGATCGCGTGGTATCAAGTACACATGTCGAACCGCCGAGTCTAGAACATATTTCACGTCCTACTTCCATGTAACAAGCTGTCAAGTGGAATGCGAGCTAGTTTCCTAGGCTAAGATCCTCAGTTCAACAAAACTAAGAATGCTAACAAAAATGTGTCGTAGAGGGGGCTGAGCCCCTTCTGGTAATTTTTTAAATTTATTTTTGGAGGGGGGGTCCGAGTCCCCTGAGTCGCCATTGAATCCCCGCCTATGTCCAGGTCTTAAACTGCTGTTCATGGCTTTTGACAATTAGCAAGTTCGGTTGACTATTGATTGAGCTAGAGGCAATATATTATGCTCAAATGTCGCAAATCCCTTCGGTATGCATCTGGTGAGTCAAACAAAGATAATCGTTTCCTTTGTCTGACCAGGCTGTGTAATAAGCCCCTGAATGTCCAGCAGCGAATGTAACATGTGAAAGAAACAGATTCTTGTTCGCACTGAAAAATAATTATTCTCAAAGAGTGCCAACTTCTGGAAATCTCTTGAGTTTGTCAGGGAAATCATCTTTGTAGAGAACAGGATCTGCACGAAACTCAACACTTCTCAATGGCATATATCCAAATGCCCCTGCAAAGCGATTGATGCATTCACTGCGCCTCTTCATATGGCCCAAATCCGTCGATAGTTGAGCATTCTGGTATTCTGGATACCGGAACTTCTTCCTTGGACCAACCTGGAGATAAATGTACAGTTTTATTTATTTATTTGCATGGATAAATGATTTCATTTCTATCTTTCCTTGTGATAACCCCTCATGATGCAAAAAATGAATATCCGACACCGTGCACAAATAGCTGCAGGGTATGAGGTATGGATTTGGAAGAGATAGGAAGTTGCATCCAAAGCATTCTCCTTCCACCACCACTTCTGGACCATGACGGAGGACCCTGCGGTATGGGGTGGGGAGGTTCTTCATCGAGGTGGTGGCGAAACGAGAATACTTTGGATGGAACTTCCCATCTTCTCCGCCTCCACACCTCATACCCCTGCAGCTATTTGCACACGGTGTGGAAGACTCAATTTTGGAACCAAGAGGGGTATCCGCAAAGAAAAAATATCAATAAATCATAAAACCCTATCTGTTTTTATTTATTCTGTTTCTGAAATTTGTTTTTTTTTTTGGCACAAAAACTATTGTTCTAAAACCCAAAGTCCAAAAATTACAAAAGTTATTACAATTTAAAAAAGTAGGTAGTGACTTTCCATACACCCTCTATATGGATATGATTTTGGAAGGGAATTACATGCCATAGAGATGAAGAGAGCAAAGCTAACATACCTTGATTGGGCCCTTGTGAGTAAAATGGGAGACAAGGAAGTTCATTGCTATGTCTTCACAATTCATGTTTTCATCCACCCATTCTTTGATCTCCTTTGGTAACTTTGTCCAGTATGCAAAACTCCAGTACTGCAGCAAGATATGAAATTCCCATATCAGAAAATTTTTTCGTTTTCTCTTTAAATTTCACTCTTGTCATTTCCATGAGAGCATACACCTATCTCATGCCACCCTTGAGAGATTGAAAAATGATGAATTTCCTTGCATTTTTACTTGCTAATTGAATACAGCAATAGAAGTGGGCCACCCTGATAAAATAACTTAACACTTTCTGGATGATGGTTTCTGGATGCAACATGCCATAGCAAACAAATGTTTTTTTTATTATAAATGTATTGAACGAAAATTCTATAAATGCATCAAATGGTAGTAGATTGGGAATGTTTTGCTTAGTGATTTGAAGCTTCCCTAATAGCTGAAACATTTATAGCAATAAAGGCAATAGAAAAATGAGATGTCTATGCATCTCGTTGCCTGCTGGGGAAAAAAGGGGAGAGTTGGCAATGCTGTCTTGTAAGTATATGTACAGTATATATGATGCCATGCCACTGAAAATGTCTACCATAAGTTTTAATAAATATTGTGTCTTTTCTACAGGGCGTCCCAAATGTAGTGTCAGGAATTATAATAATGCATTAATAGAAAACAAAGCAATGTAGAATAAATTTATTATGCATGCATCACTCTTGAGTGTCAGGAATTACATTACAGTCATCAAGGGGTATTCATCTATGGTACTCATTAGAAATAATGTCTAGCAAAAGTGTTCCATCTCACAAGCAGCATTCATGTACATGGAGCACAATCCCTCTGTCAAAGATTTTCTGGTAGACAGCCTCGATAGTATTCCTGACACTGTCTTCCAGTGCAGCAGTTGTCCGTGATTTATTTACTTAAATACACTCTTTCAAGTATCCCAAGAGGAAATAATCTGGAGCCAGCAAGTCCAGGGGTCTTGTTGGCCATGTGATGTTACTGAAATGGGGAATAATGAGCTCAGGAAAAATGGTACTACACAACAGTCCAATTGGGTCCTGGGCTGGATAACAAATTTCATCCTATTGAAACCACAGGTCCCTCACAGAGAGGTTATGGTACCCCAATGTGTACAATTGCTACTTGCGAGATGGAGGATATTTAGAAGGCATTATATGTCATGTGCAGAGCAAATATGAAGATCCCTTGATGACTGTAATTTAACTCCCGACACTCTGGAATGTAGTAAGTGTATTAACTTTATTTTATTTTGTTTCATTTTTGATAATGGATTATTAAAATCCTGACACTACTTTTGAGACACCCTGTAGTTCATAAATGAAGGACAAATGGAATGCTTCATGGTTGAAGATCAAATTACACCAAAACAAATTGCAACCTTCTATTTTCAATTTAAGTACTTCAATGGGAAATTGAAAATGTCCATTTTATAATGGCCACAACTGCAAAGAGGATCAGGCCAAGGACAACAAATGATGCTTTGCATCAGTAGAATTTGTTTGACCATGGACTATGCTTCAACCTCAATGCAGAGTCCATATGAAGAAAAATTATCCCTTTGTTTTCAGTAGAAAACTACATAAAGAATGGACCAGAAAATGCAATCCATAAAACCCAATGGGAGTCATTTCATGTCAAGTGGTCCTAAGGTGGTTGCACTACCAACTAGGACATACCTGAGAAAAAAAACCATGGCTATAAATTTTTCTTCTTTCAATAAGGAAAACAGACTTCAGAATACTTGTAATGAATCCAGGTATGGGGTTTCTTTGATGCTTCAGTATAACGATGCATTCAACTCATTCAAACCTCACTTCATACATTTGCTTTGCAAATTCAAACATTCACATATTGCCATTAATAACTTTCTTTTGATTCTAGGTATAGATATGATCCTTGAAGGCGCTAATCTGTACAAAAAAATTTCCCTTAATTTTTTATAGCCAATTGCCTGCATTACATCTGGACATATCTAAAATTGTGGGTCCCATACAGGGGTCAATGGGTCACAACATGAAAAAAGTTGTATTAAGGTCCTTTTGTGCATAAAAGCATTGAGATAAGCACAACAAACTATGCAGTATTGAGTGAACACCCATTTCTGTCAATTTAGCTTATTTCGCAAGTTGCAAAGTTACCCAATAACCATCTCAGGTTCCAATGGAGGGTAATAGCTTCATCCCGATGTTCTCTCAGCCATCCTCAAGATAGCATGCAAATTTCTGCATAATGCAATTATAATGCTTTTCTGGTAACAAAAGTTCTTTCTTCCTTGTGCTGAAGAATGGACATAGATGATGAGATGATGGGAAGTTTAGAGTCCATTAGTTCTCTTTCCTTATGCCTGTCCCATTGCAGAAGGTAGGCCAGAATCAGCAGAAAATCTGTGATATTAAAAGCCATGATAAACTAAGTTTTCTCCTAGTCACCTTAGCCCACTTTTCTGGTTGAGGACATCTCATTTTGATACTATGAGTATAATTAATGGCATTGAGTAAAATTATAAAGGTTCAATGGAATTAAAATGAGAGAAAAATGGAGAGGAGTGATGCAAAGAAGTAATAAGGCATGAGCTCACCTTGTGATAGAAAGCAGCACCTGTAAGCACCATAGAAATCTCACTTGACCATTCTGAATCATACACCCACTCTCCAATTTCCTCATTCCATACATGTCTTCGTGATGGGAAACCCACAATGCGATCTGGGAATTCCCTCCATACCTTCAAAAGCACAATGGACTTCATTTTCCATGACAGGAATCCTGAAGAATTTGATCTTATGATTGAGTATCTTACCTCAAAGGCAAATTCCAGCTCATCAGGGGTGAGCATGGTAATGTCATCATCAAGGGAAAGCAATGCTTCTGTCTCAATCTCAGGATATGGGAAGAAGCGATTACTCAAGAGATTTTTCTCTGTCTGCACAACTTTGATGGGTTTTGAAATCCTTGGCCACTGAGAGGCTGTAAAATAATAGAGAGATAAATGTTGGTCTATACTGGCACAAGAGTCATTTTGCCATATAATTTGAGCCAAGGATTTATTTTGAGATGGAGAGGATAGTAAAATGCAGGGTGACTACCTATGAGCATAAAAAAGCTATGAGCAATTTTTTTTTTCTGAATTTGGGGGAACTCCCTTTTAAATTTGTGTAACATGTTTATCAATTGACCTTAGAATGGTGTCACATCTTTTGTTTCTCCACTTGGGCATGACTGAGAATTCATTTACTAGACCTTTGTTTCAATTAAAGGTTCAAAAATATGAATTACAGCATTTTTAAACAAGTGAGAGAAAGGCATTTTTTGCAAGGACAAGCCCACAGATCTGAAAAATTTTGAAAGAGAATATTCTCTTCAATATCTCATGCTGTGCACCATATAAGTGACAGAATTCTCACAGATGTTAGTGACAATGTAATTGCTGTTTTGTTGTGTAAACTCATTTTTATCATTTTGTATTTATAAAATACTCTATTATTCAATCAATACTTTGATGATTACAGGAAGTTGGTGCAATGCAGTCAAATGGCAAATTTTTCATCGAATATTAGTCACCATTTAATGAAATGAAATGAATTAAAAGTAAAAAATTCCAAAGCAAAGCAATATATCTGGGAAATTTATTCTCAGTCATGCCAAAGTGATAGGGAGAAAGATGTGCCAATATTCTGAAGCCAATATGTTTTCAGTCTACAAACATCTAAATAAATGGCTACTTCAGTATCATTAATAAAAAAAGTTGCTTGAAGGTAGTCACTTTAAGGACAACATGTAGTTCACATGGGTGCTGTCTTGTGAAGAATTCAACAGTTTAAAGAATTGAAAGGTTAGGGGCAGTACAGCAAGCTAAGCTTAAGTAATGCATGTCTGTATCAGGTGCATATATAAGTCAGGTCTGAAGGGGGCTATCACCAAACCCACTCAATTATCCAGCCTGGTTTTATGGCGTCCAATGCAAAATGCAATGGCCCCCTCACCATCACAGTAGGCAGAACTTTAAAATAACCATCATCACATTCACATCAAGCTCTTGATGATAAAAAAAAAAGGCAAAGCACTTACAAATAGTAAGTCCATGATGACTCACCAGGAGGAGGGGGTGTATCAACATTGTTCCATACAACAAGAACTTTGGTCAAGGATGGAGTCTGTGCAATTCTGTTGATGACCGTAAATAGTGTGGAAAGTCGATCATATGTCAGGATCACAGCAGTGAATCCAAACGAACGGGTTGGCAGTTTCATTGGATACAGCAGTGGACTCTTCACCAGATTCTGATTCACAACAAAGACAAAAAAAGCACTAGATAGATCAACAAATTCCCTGCTTGGTTTCTGTTTTTGTTTTACAGAACTTTTCTGGCCCCTTTGTATCCATGCAGATTCAAGGATGGGAAAGGGCAAGAATTGAGAATGAATTTTCAGGTAAGGGATGGAAGGAATCCACTGTTAACAGATAGATACACAATCTGCAAAAAATCTGGTTCTTGGAAGGGAAGAGAGGGGCAAAAGAATAAAACTAGCTCAAACTCAAGGACATAAAAGTCCTTGCCGGGAACTACCTGAGGTGTTGGGGTACATCAGGGAGATTTGTTCAGTGGATTCTGAAGAGCAGAATTAAAAATGCCTTCAAAAGAATTGTACTCTCTTAGTAAGTGCTGCAGATCTGAAGGTCAGTGTCACAGTGTGAATGCAAGAGCAATGCAAGAATATGCAGAATGCAAGAATAAAATTTGAGCTGCATTTGTAAAATGAATCTTCAAGTAAAATGGCAGGGGATCAATAGATAAAAATTAGGGGATGCTCAGAAGATGAATGGAAGTAATTAGAAAAAGACCCTTTCTTTGCCATCTGTTGTCTCAAAGCAATAAAAAAATTTCAAAAAGTTGTGCATTTTTTATGCTTCACCCAGTATAGGAACAGGATTGCTTCACATATTCATTCAGACCTTGAACCTTGATGAGAATCAGAGAATAATCCATGTTGAAGCAATAACTGGCAAGAATGAAGAATTTATTCCATTTATAATCACCTCTGACCTTGTTGCCTCCACAGTGGCTGTTGTTAATATATCCCACTAGGGAACCTGGGAGAACACTGGGTATGAGGAAGATAATGTACCAATGGAAATATTAGACAGAAAGGCACAGTAACCTTGGTGGGACGAACATTCCAATCTTCATAAGACTTCTGAAGATGAGGGAAGAGTCGACTCTCCAAAATTTCCAATGTTGTGTGGGTAATCTTTTCAATGGTAGAGAAGTAGGACTCAAAGACCCACTTCCCTTGAGCCTTCATTTCTTCTATATGCCAATCAGGGACTTGTGACAGAAGAGTCATCACCTCAATGAACTCATGTTCCCATGCATGAATTGCTATTCTGGAGAAAGAATACAATTTAAAGAATACCTGACAACACCAGGGCATTCTGAGCTTCTGAAACAAATCCAATTTTGACTAGTGCTTTTCTAATGCATGTGAAAAATCCTTGAAAAAGATTCAAACAGTAGGAATGGTAATCCAGAGGACTGTAAAATTACCAACCAGGGAGAGGACCTTGATGCAATAATAAATTACTAATATACTTCCTGTGATTATATGTCAGTTTTGGTAAATGCCAATGATTTACTGGTAATTTACCAGTGTCTTACTTCTACACTTACAAGGCCATTGAACAAAATTATCAACTGTTTCTTGGTCACAAATCCTGAAGTTCATTGCTGGTGCACAATGACAGAGTAAAAACTATCTCAAAGCTACCAATAAACAATAAGAGAAAGAACAGCAAAAGGGTCACAGCAACTAAATGGAGACTTATTACACACACTTTGTCAAAGAAACAACTCACAAGGATACTGGGACCAAGTGAGAAAACTTAGTGGTTTCAAAGTGACAATAAAAGAAACTATTAATGTTAACTTGGACTATTTGAATGATTTCTTTTTGGAGCATGACAGTGAGGCACCACCTGTGCAGAATCAACCCCTTTCAGGGGAGACTATGAGCAAAAAATACAAATCGAGATGCTTTGCCGAAAGTAAAAATTGTTGGTACCATTAAAAAGCCTGAATTCCATAAGACACGAAACATGGCAATTGACATTACTTGAAAGCTTAAGATTGTCTGCCAGTCATGTACAGGGCATAAAAAAAAATAAGAAACCCTCCACTAATTTATTAGGAGGGATGGATAACATTCATTTCCATCAGGGAAAAATCAAACAAGGCTTCATTTAGGCTGATGCCTTCTTTCTTAATACAGGGTGTTTCAAAAGTTGCACAACCATATATACAGCATTTTTTGGAGGAATGTGAATTGGGTATTGAGCGAATTGAGAATTGAGCGATGAATTTCTGAATGATGTGTTGATAATTTTCAGCATTTACAGTTTATCTGAAAAATATGGGACCCACAATACCTACTGCAATAGTTGATGTGCATGTATTCCAGTTAAATTTATAACAGCACTTGTTTACATATAGGGTTGTGTGACATTTGAAACACCCTGTAGAATGAAATCTGGAGAATAAAGCATAGAAGGCTAAATTTGATATGCAGTATCATTTGAGCTATGAATCATTGATAAAATGTGGGATTTGCCCCTCAATTCTAGATTCATTTCCAAAGAATAAGGATTTGTTCAACCCAGATGTGAACAATACGAAATTTATATAAGGTTCTGATGTGATGATACAAAGGTTCAAATTGTTTGGTTCATTTTTTGTTCAATTTTGGTTCCTTCCCTTTGGATTCTGGACCAAATTTGCATTGAACATTGCAAAGCCAGTAGGCATCTGAACCATGGGAGTACTAAAGGTCTTATCCTCTTCCCACCAACCAGCTCAGCCTACTGTTCTTCCAGAAATACAGAATTAAAAACATGTGTCTTTATGGTGACAACTGATTTTTATATTTTTTTCTTAGAAGAAATGAATAAATTTTGACTTGAAATTCAGCAATTCCATTTAGTTCAAAATTAGCAAGATTCAAGTTGGGTTGAGTTCAGTTTTCCAAAGACCATCCTGATTAACAATTTGGATTTGAAATGGCTGAAAATTAATTTAATTAAATCCTGAATTCATCATTTCAAAGAAATTGTGATTCTGATTAAATTGGAACCTCATTTAAAAAAAGCCAGATTCATACATTTCTAGCCATTTCCATCTAGGACAATATCTCAAGCTCAGGGAATTTGGACTTAGTTTAATTTTGTTATGACTCTCTGAGGTCCTGTTTTAGCTCTCTCTTAAGTGAATCTATTGTAAACACCAGGTGATCAAATCAACAGGGGTAAACACTCAACACACTCGCAAGAAGGAATGAGAGACATCTATCAATAGTTTCAAGAGTGTGCAGTAGCTCCTAGAGGACATGACATCACTATGGGACTCAGGATTTAGCTGCTTATAATAGCACCTTGCTTCTGGTCTTGTGCATTAAGTTTCAAGTTCCATTACCTGAAAAAAATGCAGATTGCATCAGCCACTGTCTCCTTCTAGGACTTCCCCAGTCTATTACAAAATGCTAAGAAAATGAATTTGGGAGGTGAGATGCAATACGTGGTGGGTGTAAAAAAAAAGAAAAAAAAAAGGGTGGGTCTCAAGATTGGTTCTGCCAGTTTCATGGAAAACACTGGAATTGGCTGATGCCCAGTCTTCAATCTAAGGATTGGTACAGCCCTACTCTCAAGTCATACAGCATCTGCAACCCTTCTGATCTGTCCAGCTGACTTCACATTTCCAAAGCCAGATAATCTTAATGGTCAATCTCATTCCAGTACTGATTCAGCTCACTTGGTCCAATCAATGACTTCAAAGAAGGGAAGAACAAGTTGGTCTGCAAAAATCACAGGAACACAGCCAGCTTTTAGGGCATCTTGGAGAACCAGCAGCGTTGTCCGGACATCCCGGAAAATCAGGCAAAATTTTGATTTCTGTTCAAAGCAAAGATTAAAAAAGAATAGTTTCAAACCTCCTTCCTTCAAAAAAAAAAAAAAAAAAAGTTGAACAAGAACACATTTCTAACATACTGTGAGTATCTCTGGGTAAAGAACAGAAGTTCCATTGGAGAAACACCTTTCCCGATAATTGGGAATAGGACCACGGGGACATGGGATGAATTGAAGGATATTTGTATTCTTTGCTTGCTTTTCCACTCTCTCTTCAAATTCTGAAAGCAAGTGCTCTTGTGGTACAGCTGCCAGCCACTTGTACCTTCGAGAATATCCATTTCAGATGGTTAAATGAAGTAAAATTGCAATTATTCATTAGTAACAACACTGTCAAATTGATTAATTAAAAGAGTTAGGAAAGGGAATTCCTTCTGCATTCCAAACATTTCTGATCAGATAACTTCTGATTATAAAATAATAACACATCCATATTTGTATCTTGATGCAGCTGAAAATTAGATGGTAGCAAAGATCAACAATTTCAGCCATATAACCGATTTCAACAATCCCTGAAGGCCAGCTACTAGCAGGTTCTGCAATTTGTTCCACCCAGTACTTCAATACCATGTAGTACAAGCATATATATAAAAGTCTGACATCTAGCTGTAGCTAAGAGATGACCCAATACCATCTAGTACCAGTGACTTGACCGTGTGTCTTGCACATGGTAGTAAATTTTTTTTTTATATATATGTTTCACAGCCTTCAACTAAAGAGGAAGAATTGTCAGAACAACTTTCCAATCTGCTGTTAATTGACTATCACAGGTGAATTGGCTTTATCTAAAAAAAAGCAACTTTAAAAGCAAGACTTAGTAGAATCAACAAAAATGGAGTATCATATGACACCAATATACTCTCTCTCAAAATGATCTATCATATGCAATAATGTTTGGAAAATATCAAGTGCAATTTGCTGCATACTTGATCATTAGCTTTGTATGAAGAAATTGCTGCCATGCAAGTTGGTCCCATGGAATTCATCCTGTGATTCCAGGCTATGACTCACTCATGGTGAAGGTGAAGGGGAGGTCCTTCCATGTGAGAATTAAATACAGGGATTGAAATATCAAATCCATGTCGAAATGAACTGATTGAATAGCCAGCGCCAGCTACCATGGCAAGCCCCTTTGGAACTTCCAAAAATGGCTCATAATTTGGTGGACCACCAGGCAGCATATTCCAGACAAGATGGTTCCTTCCCCCATTCCACCTGGAATAAACAAATAAACCAAGGCATAACAGCTTGAATCATCTTCCAATGGCTGCTAATGTGATGAGTGGAGGGCAGATCTCTAAGGAAAGTCATATTTTATATTTCCTTGAAAATGTATCTATTTATGCAGGATGAAATCCTAGCAGCAGTTGGAGCAAAAATGATTCATGTTGCTGGGTCATATTTTGGTCATACTGGATATCATTCACTTCATCATCCTTTCACATCATGTTTCATGATGTGAAACAGTGGGAAGATTACCATTCACTGGAGCTTCAGTGGTAGTAATGCCAAGATAGTCAAGCTAGGCCTGTTCATCTCCCTGCAGAATGAGGTGCAAGGTTGTAACTTGTTCACTACATGCTTAACCCTTTCTAGGTTGGTATTAAGTACAATTATCACTTGTTATTATGGTGCACTTTCCTTTGAAATTTCTATTCCAAGGGAGCCTTATTGTTCTAGTCCACTTCTCGGACATTTTGTATTGAAAATATTTGAAACCATCAATTTATCACTTCTGTTTGATGAATGCAATTTATTATGTGGGTTTGACATAAAAAAAAATTATTTTCATGTCCCAGAGTCTTGCCCTATAAAGGGTTAGGTAGCTTAGGAAGAGGTTGAGAGGATAAAGGGGCTGATATGATGCCTGACTACCTCCCTAGCTCTGCTGAAAATTCAGGATTAGAGCTGGTTGCATATAATTTTCTGAATCCTGACTACTTTGCATGCCACTTAGTGTTTATTTTAATTTAGTGTTTTCTGAAGTGAGTTTAAATATCATTTTTTATCTTGTTTTTCCTTTGAAAATAAGAGCATGGGTTGTCTTGAAACCATTATTTGTCTCACTGCTTTTATTGTTCTGCTTTATGAAGCATAGAACTGATATTCAAAATGTCTAGATATCTTGACACAGGATTCAGAAGGATTAGAAGTATGATTAGGATAAGAAGTATCATAGCAGATCAAAGGGCAGTGCTGAATTGATTCCATCATGTATACACAGGTGGGTATGAGCAACTTGGGATTAGGCAGGAAGAGCCATGTGGGAGATGTTGGTTACTCTCTAGAAAGCTCCTGGTGCCTGCATTAATCCCTGTGAGGTTTGGGTCAAACCTCATGAGTCATAACTCACCAATTCATAGGATGCCATTCCTGTGTTTGCAATGTAAAATAGCCACCATGGTGTGAATTGACTCATGAAGCTTCAGAAAGGGAGAACTGACTCCCCAGACTGTGGAGAAAAAGCAGCAGCTAAGCAAGATATAATCCAGTAGTCTTGATCAGGCACTTTGATTGTCCTCAAATGTGACTGGTTACATATGAGCTTCTGTAATCATGGTCTGTGAGTCACACTCATTTGTGAGTAGCATGTTCACTCATAAGGCATTAAGAATTCCTTGTAAGAATTCTTATAATAATGCAAGGAAAAGAAGACTGCTGGTTAACTGGCATGGTCAGTCAGTATGGTGCAGTGCTTCCCATCCTTGTAGATGTAAATCATCCAATTTAGCTTAATAGATGGTCCTATAAATGCACAATTTATGGGAATGTCTTTTGTTCATTCATCATGACTCAGATAGAGCTCAAACTGAAAAATACCTCTCCATCAACACATTTGCCATTTAAGAAATTCAACTTCAGAGTTGCTGGAGAATTAAAAAAATATGATGCAACATTCATGCAATGAATGTTGCAATGCAGAAAAAGGTAGGACTTCTTTTAAAAAATTTTGAGGAAATGTAAGATGATACCAAGTTAGAGACTTCAGTGCGGTCCCAGCAGCTTCAAGGCGGATGCGCTCTTGATTCAGGAGATCCAAAGCAGGGATGAATATACAGGCAACTGCAGGATTTGAAGTGTACCACTTGCTTCTTCTAATAGTCCTCAAGATCTCAAAATACTCTTTGGATATCCTTTCACCAACTGCAATCCCATTTTCATCAACAAAATTCACATAATCATAGATGAACACTGACAGGGAACCAACTTCTGTCCTGCCACAGCGAAACACATCAAAGCACGATGAGTGAGTGCAGTTATCACAGGAATGACTAGACACAGTAGAATTCTCAGTCAAAATGACAGTTTTTGGAAATGGGGCTCCCAGTTCAAAGAGATCACAGTATGAGCTGTAGAAATGCATTTCTCCCCTATCTTCCTCATCTCTCACCAACAGGAGAGCACCAAGAAATAAGCACAAAAATGAGAGCACATAGCACAAATCAACATGGTAGATCTTCTTTGCAAAGGTTCTTTGGGCTTTTGAGGAAACCATGCTTGTGACGCGTTTCTGGGTAAAACGACGTGTTGGAAACCAATCCATGATCTCAGCTCACCAGACACCATGGAGTCTAAGTCATGCTCACATCTGCAAAGTCAGGCCTCTAGAACTGATATTAGTCACATTCAAGAGGATTTAGTTTTAGCATGCATACACATACCCAGTGGCAGCTCGTGATATTAAGTGGTAGGGGTTCCTTTATGGGGAGGGGGTAGGCAGGGGAGGGCACTGCCTACCCCCTCTCCATAGATGAACCACTAGTACTTATTATCACAAGTCGCCACTGCATATACCATATGTTGAGAAGCTGGGGCTATAGTATTTTAGGAATGTATCATTTACTAAAAATGTATCATATTGCAAAAAGTGCAAGAACTATGATGGACATGTTTTTTATACAGCATTTATTGTAGGAAACAATGAATTTACTACATATCTAAGTGACAGGTTTCTAACTGCTTTTGTAGGAATTTCTTGGCACTTTGAAAGTAAGTCACTTAAAACAGGACAGTGGAAACTTTCACACAAAAATCATTAGGTTTTTGCAAGAAATCACAAAATCTTGGTACCAAAGTTCTAGACAGATACATGATCCTGCAGCAGGAACAATAAAACAAAGAGTTTGCCCAAAATACAGGGGTTGTAGCCTTGAAACTGAATTTGCAAACCTACATATCAGGTGAGTCAGGAAGTTCTCAACTTTACATACCTGCAGCTGGAATACCCCATACAGAAAGATCTTATACTGTAGTTATATAAAGTATTCTATACCATTAATATTGAAAAATTTTCAATTTTTCTATTAATTGTTATAGGAAGCTACATATGGTCTGTTCCTGATCAAAATACAGAAAAATATAGAATCCTCCTGACACTCTTATTGAAAGTGCTTTGCTGGACTTGTCACTCTGGTATAGTCTGTATCCTGAATCCTTGTGCAGTGGCATAGCCCGCTGACCAAAGTAGCCTGCTGGCCAGAGAACCACCATAAAATGGATTAGCACCCTGTCAACTGAGTTGATAGAGTTGATAGAGATATGTATGACCCCTCAAGGAAGGAAGGGGTAGAAAAGGAGAGGGAGTGGTGAGTGTGTCAACATTATCGCTCTTATTTGTCACCATTGGCAATGACACTCATCTGATGAACCGCATTACCCTTTGTCTCTTTGAGAGTTTACAGACTATACCATCGAGTGACGTAGGGAAGGGGGAGTTCAGGGGGTCAGAACCCCCCCCCCCCCCCACTCCCCCTTTGGGCTTCCTGGTCAGTGACAGACAGGCATATTTCAGCCTTACTTGGGAATTCCAGTTTTAGGTATCCCCCTTTCGAGGAAAGTCCAATGTCCATCCGCAGACCCAAGATGCCAGACCACGATTTCTTCAAAAAGGTAAATTCCGGGTGGTGGAGCTAAGCGTAGGGTTTTGGTGTCTACCTGGCCTCAACCTTTGGTGTCTACCTGGCCCTTGCCGATTTTCTGCCTACGCCACTGATACCATCAGTGAGGGGAGAATCTGCACCCATACAGAAAAATCATATGATTTTATAAGAAATGGGCATATATGATAGAGATCATACTAGCGATGTGATTTTTGTTTAAAAATCCATAGCCTAGTTGATATCGCAAATGGACAATGTCAACCTTAAAGGCGTTTCACACTTTGCGTGTCATACGTCCTTTTCGTCAATTCTTGAGCAGGTAAGCAGTTTTTTCGCAAAACGCAAGGCTTACGTTTTCAATGGAACTCATCTCATTTCCAAACGCAGGGCTTGCGTTTTATGAAAACCCTCGTATGTAAGTGGGCATGCTTGTGCACGCGTGCGTCTGCTTAACCCTTTCAGACTCCATGTCCATTCCTCGGGATTCTCGTGACTTAGCACCCCTAATTCCATAACAATGGACACTATTCTGCACGACTGAACTCCGTAGGGAACCCTTATCTCAGCTGGCAGTTTTATAATATTCAGTTATATATTTCCATGTAAAATACAGGGTGGCCCAGAAGTAATAGGGCAGTTATTGGTACAATCAGCAGTCACTACTATTTTTTTCAATTATTTTATTATTATTATTTTTATTATTATTTGATTTTTATTTTTATTTCAGAATCACTAATCATAAAGTAAAATAAAAATTGCAATGACTGCTGATTGTACTACTAACTGCCCTACTACTTCTGGGCCACCCTGTATATATATGGTATGGGTAGGGTATATTTACATAAAAATAAATAAACCATATATAGAGTAAAAAGTGAAGGTAGAATAGGAAAATGACCCAAAAATGCAAAAAAAAGTATATTGTTCCAATGCGGCTTTAATTTAAACCTGAAAGAGTTAAATGCCCAAACATTGACGAAAAGGACGCATGACACGCAAGGTGTGCAACGCCCTTTATCCAAATGCGTCAGATTCAGTTGCGAGAACAAAGAGTTTCTCTTTCTCGAGGTTTGCGCATTGGTGTCCTGACTGTTAAGTGAAAATTCTGAGGTTTTTTCGAACACGGACTCTACGAGATGATTCCTGTTGCCCACATGTCGTGCACGTTCCCTTTCCTGGAGTAAACCCAATCCCAAAACATTTACACTGTTTCCGAAATAAATTCGTAGCCCCCCCCCCCCTCTATAGAACGGGGAAAACACAATATTTCTAGACGATCTGCAAGACGTCAAGCCTATTGCCCTACACGGTTGTCGGATCATTGATGATAATTCCGCTTTTGGGATGACCACAGAGAAGAAAATACGCTTTTATTCTCTGGCAATAAAATGAGGTTAATAAGAATAACCATGAAAGGAAATTCTCCAGTTCTCGAATGTTCTTGGAAAATGGTATCCCATCTTCAAACATCACTGCATGTTGTCGAACATCGTCTGCGCGAAGACAACTGAAGCTTGCAGGCCCCTCAGCAGGAATAGACTTCGGGAATCATGTCTTATTGCAGCAATTATCATAGCATTTCAGGTTATTTACGGACAATTGTCAACCGAAAATATTGGGATGGCCACATGAAGCGAATGCCTCTTCGTGGCCCGATTTCAGCCCTTCTCAGCAGAGAAAGACCCAACACCAACGCAATAAAATAGTTCGATCTCGCAGGAAATGGACCCAGCATTGCAGCTAACAGTAGAGATGAGACAAAAAACGTTGCCGATTGCGGTTGCGAGACTCTCGGCTTCGCCTCCAGTGGCTACGGCTAGCCTCTATTATTTCCCATTCTCTGTCCATTGAAAAACCTTACTTTCTTGCCCTCGTTTCACCGCTACTGACTACTATTTCTTGTTATATTGGTTACCTCTTCTCTCTGCCATCAGAAACCCGGATCTTCCTGACAAAAATGACAATTCAAGAGGAGATGCAATCCTTAGCATGCGACTTTCCCTCTACCCATCAGGTCCCAGGCCTAATCCGCAAAGGAGAAATAATCCAAATCACCATACTTATCATCTATATGGTCATGAGTTTCGCCAAATCTGAATCTAAGCAATCGCGCAGGACTCCACAGATTCTTAAATTTCCGATTCGTCCAGGTCAGGAGTCTAAAACTCGTTTTGCTGAACGGATCGCATCGCCAAGATCGGACCTCTCTGTGCGTCAAAGTGTAAATTCGTAAAGTGAAAATCTACTACAACCTTATATTGTATTGTATGCAGTCCTGATCAAAAATAACCGAACGGGTCTATTTGGGTGGACGATGGACCCATTTGATCAAGATCGGTTAGCTCGGATGAAGGAGATACGCCATGCCCTCATGCGCATGTTGCTAGAACTGAAATGGGAGGGTACTTAGCATGGCTTAATTTTCAAGTTGGACTTGAATGAAATTATGGTCTGAAAATCCTGACATCAAAAAGCCGTAACGCATCTCTTGGGAGGATGACATTGCTACCATTCGGAAACCTGATAATGGCTGGGGAGACGTGCAATGTGGAAAACAATGACCGTACCAGTTTGACCTGCGACTTGGACCCCATTAAGCTTTCTTCCCTAAAAAAAAATACGGTCTGAAATTTTGCGACTTATTTGAATCTTACTTCCGTAGCTCTCTTAGAAATTTATTTCTCCTGTAAATTTACAGATTTTTTTTTCTATTGAAGGATAAAGACCATTCTTTGTCTGCGTTACTACTGTAGAGAGAAAAAAGATTTCCAAGGAGCCCAAGGGTTTCCTGGAAACAGCTGGCAAATTATAGGCCGTATATATTTTTTTCAAGTATGGATTATGTAATCGATTTTTTCTTCAATTTTTTTTTTATACATAAAAATTGGGGGTCGCAGGCTGTTGGCTCCCATAAAGAGTGGCCGTGGAAGTAAACAATTTGCGATGCCCTGACCTTGATAGATCAGGTACCAAGTGATAAAATACCGTGCAGGCCACTGCATCATCTGCACGACAAATTAGCTCAGACCAAAGTCGGGAATGTGCATAGACGAGTAGTGAATGGTTTGGTTAGCCTAACTTTGGCCCGTCGGCAGGAACTCTCTCCTTTGGGATTTTCTACTCTCATAATTGAAAAACCAGTAATGAAACTAGAGAGCACCAGCCCAGGTACAGATCTGCCATTCCACTGGCCCACTGGAATTATCTTATTTGCCGCATCCTAAGCATCCAACCTTGAAATAAATAACAGCTGTCATTGGTATGTCACAAGCCAATATGAAAGGGCCGGGGGAACTAGACATGTTCTCGATGGTTCGTGCGTCCGCGCCGCGTGGAGATGGGAGGACGCTATGAAGTGTAGGATGCCAGATGCGGCATTTCACGCGTACGCCTAGCGACCCTGTCTACGCGACCGCGAGCAGCCGCTCTCTCCTATTGTCTAGTATGAATCCGTTCACCCGCGAGGACTGGAAGAGAAGTGGATGTTTTAGTGGAAGACATGCACCCCGACCAAGGCGAAAAGCTGCACAAGCGTGCAAAGTCGTGTTGTCCGGTTGCTGGGGTTAATGCGGACAGACGGAGTGAAAAAAAAAAGAACAAAACAAATGTGACAGACCGATCGCAATATCTGCCATTTCCCCAGAGTACCTATGGGAATGGCAGATAATCATGCGTTCACGCACAGAGCCGAGACCCCAAGATGGTCGAATATCGTTATAGTAATATAGGGTGTGGTGGGTAGTCGACAGATGCGAGCGCTCTCCGACTTCATTTGCATGAAACGACAATATGAGAACCTCAGCCTTGTACTGATAGTAAAGAGCACGATAACCCTCAAGGGAAAACGGGGGAGGGGAGTGAGAACAGGGGAGAAGTGTCAAAAATATGTCGAAACGGAGGGCATTTCCACTTCCTACAGTAAACTGTGGTTTCCATTATTGATTCCGTCAAATTTTGGCGCACCTGGTGAATTTGCACCCTGTACGGGGGCACATGTGGCACACGCTTAAGGCCAGCCCTGACAGCAGATCTCCCATTCACGTGAGACCTAACCTTGGTTTTTCCCGACAAACGTAATTAAATCACGGGTCATGGACCTAAATCACTGGCCAAAGTAAAAAAAAAAAAAATAATAAAATAAATAAATCGTCCTATTATCACTTTAAAATCGTATTTAAAAAAAAAAGCATAGCAAGGAAAGACTTCTAATTACATCGACTATCCATATTGACATCTTTTATTCCAACAGAAAGGCTTCACACCTAGTTCCCAAAATATGTTCTCAAATATCAGAAAAATTCAGCCGCTTGATGAAAAGTGAGCAGCATTCAACTTTTCAAACCCAAGTCTAACACACAGTCCTCAAGCATGGCCTATGTGAGAGGTTGAAGTTCGACGTTCCGTCGATGAACGTCAAGATATCGTATGGCTAGCTTGTGTCATAGTGTCCTAAGCATAATATAATACGAGTTTCCTGGGCCTATGTTTAACGTGAGGCCTTATGGAATTTAATGGAGTTTAACGAGGCTTAATGGAATAGGCCGAGGCCTACCTGGTGACTGGACGGAGGTTAGGTGACCACCCGGGTGACACGCGCTGTTAATTGAACGCGTTAGGTTGACTAAGCAAAGCACATGATACAGCCACGCTTGACTGAGCTAAATAGACGTAGTTTCGCCTACTTTTCTCAGGGATTTAGAGCTCCAACTGATATTTACCTAAGAGCAAGCGATAGGGATGGGTTTCTACTAAGGCACTGGAGGATTGGACACTCGGTAGCAGCCATCTTACCTACCATGGTGCCTCGCATACCTTGTGCTGCCGACGACTAGGGGAGTCGGAGTCCCAAGTTTCGTTGTCATTTTGATTACCTCGATACCACAAGGAGGAATCGTATCGTGATCGCCGCGATCACTCCAGAGTGATGCCAAACGCCAATTTCAATAAGTAGAAACTCTGTAACGTATTCTGTGACATTGATAGTTTTGGAGTGGGTCTGTTCCACTTGCAGTTGCGTAATGTTAACTGTCTGATGGGCAACTGTACGCGGAATGGACCTATTATTTCTCGTTGCGAAAAGCAACGGAGCAGAAAGACCCGCAATATAAAAATATGGTGTCTCATTTCAATATCGATACACCCCTACTTCAGGTCCAACCTCTTCAAATTCTTCAAAGTCTGCATTCAGCTTAAAATGCCTTTGAATAAAATCAGCAAGCTTCATTAGGCCTTGCAACGATTTCATGGGATTCCCTTTAGTTATAGTTTCATTCTCAATTTAATTGAAGTCTATTTCCACATTATTTCCATTGTGGCAGGACCCCTCCAAAGTGAGGGTTAATTACAGTTCCAGACTGGCTTATTGAGTCCCCATTAACTGTAAATAAACTGGAACTTGGGTGGAGTTCAAATGTAAAGACCCATAAACAGGGTTATGGTTAAGTGCATGCGCCCTAGGGATTTGTGGTGCCCCTAAAGTTAGGTCAGGTTCAGTTAAGCCAGGCTAATCTGGATCCATACCAGTAACAGCTTATGATCTACAGCAGCTGTGGTTTGTCAGGAAAGACAGAAGGTGCCAGCCTCCTCTGTCTCCAATGATGAACCACTACTGCTTCATACCATGTGCTGCCTCTGATCCATACCTAAAATTTCTTGAATGTTTTGCATAGCCCCAGTGCATTATTAACCTGATTGAGTAACATACAGAAGGGATTCTTCAGTCCATTCATAAAATTATAAAGAAGGGACCTATGATGTTTTTTAAATTGAAATTACACAAGCTCTCTATTAGTGCTTTTGTGGACTTCCAGCGAAATATACTGGGTGGCCCCAAAAAAAGTGTCCTGTTTGATGCTTTGTAAAACCTGCTGTGAATGATCTATGTTCGTAGTATTTTTGTTTCACAGAAACATCAAAATTTGTTTTCTTGTGTGCCTAGGTTGTCTGAATTGAAATTGATAGTTGTTCAAAGTGGAATCATAAATTTACCTTTTCACACATGAGGTGGATGGATTTTCAGCACTGCTTGAATGATTTCCCTCCCTTGAAGCCAGAAATGCATATTTTTATGCCAGTTCTCATCATAGTATTCTGTATAGTAATGATTCTGATGCTATGATGTATAACTGTAGTACAATTCTCTTCTACAATGTGTCAAATACTATGATGAGGACATGGTGTAAGAAGCAGTCTCTTTGGCGTCAAATGAGAGAAATCATTCAAGCAGTGCTGAAAATCCATCAACATCATGCATGGAAAAGGTAAATTTTTTACTCCGCTTTGAATGACTGTCGTATTTTTATTCAGACAACCTATGTATATGAAACTTTCAGATAACAATTTTTGTGGTTTTCCATTGTGATATGTAAACATCATGAACCTAGATCATCCACAGTGGGTTTTATAAAGCATCAAACAGGATGTTTTTTTTTGGCCACCCAGTGTATGAAACCCATGTTAGAACAAGGTACTATAAGTCTGATTAACCTATGGCAGCAAGTAGCATAACATAGATGTTATGATTTTTCATTATCTGCAACTGGTATAATTCAAAAGCAATTCCCAGTTACCAGCCTGGTCAATTTAGTAATTCTCTAAATTAGTTTCAGTTTTGGTCTGGGGACAATTAATTACTAATTTTAGATCAGGTAATTAGATGCAAACTAAACTAAATGAATGGTTTTATATGGCTAATGTAGTTGCAATAGGTCTCCCATTTCAATTAATGATCATAATATTTGATCAGTTTAGGGTGACTGATGTTTAAGGTAGCTGTTAGAGGAAATACAAGTCATCAGCATACTATTTGAAATCTCTAATCAGCACAACATGATCATTTACTATCCCCCCTTTTATGCAGACAGGTAGATGAGTAACCAAAGAGCACAGCTTGAAGCACTGAAGTACATGCATATATACATCCAAGGTTACCCAGAGTTAGGCCACTATATATGAATATTGACTAACATTTACTTTTAAATTTCTTTGTTGAGCTTGAATCATTCCAGTATCACTTTTAGTGCCCAGATGTGATGGATGATGACAGCCTTCAGCGTACCATGGTGGCTCTTGACTTGCCAGAAAGGGTTACTGAAGAGTTGCTGTATGAACTCTTTCTACAGGTGAGAATAATGTGCCCCAAAGATTCAATTTTATCATAAGTGTGTTGGATATGCATTTTTCTTCTTACAGGCTGGACCATTGAAAGCAGTGACAATACCTCAGGACAGGTATGGACGGCCAAAAAGCTATGCCTTTGTGGAATTCAAGCATCCAGAGTCTGTGAATTATGCCATTAGCATCATGAATGGCATTCACCTGTTTGACAGAACATTGAAATTGTCTCAGCGGGACATGCCTGCTTCTTCCCCAGCAATGCATATGCCACCTTATGCCATGAATCATCGCACCATGGAAACCTCACTAGTGCCACCTCCAATGATGGATCGCCAGATGAAAAATCACCTCATTCCATCAGCTGTGAATCATCACCTCCATCATCATCATCAGCAGCAGCAGCAACATCATCATCATCATGTCACAAATTCCTTTTCTTTGAATTCTCCCCCCATGCCTCATGTCTCCATGGCATATCATCCTCATGTACCAGCGCAGTACTTTCATGGGGTCTCTCCTGTCCATTATCCTGTATCATCTTTTCCTCCATTCTGAAGGACTTTTTAATTTGTGTCTCTGCATATTAAACCTATTGTATATGCAATGATGATTAAGAAATCATGAAATATTGGTTTCCTGTAATTGGTAGATATGGGCTGTCTAAGTAGCCACTATATCTACATGAGTGACTTTCTGATGGGACTGACTAAAACTTCCTTGGTATTTATTTTCTGACACATCCTCTCTATGTGCCAGAACATCACATCTTTGTCTAAGTTTCAACAAATACAGTAAAACCCCATGATGCTAAAACTGGATACAATATAATAAGCATTTCTTCAAGGCAAATTGATTTTGTATTTTCAGTTGAATGCTCATAATTTTTAAATATACCACATACTGGGTGCCCATAAAATGACTATCAGCAGGTAACCATTTTATCATCAAATCTGAATGAACCATTTATTTTATATTTGTATACTGACTATCTGTTGAAAAATGATGTTACATCTTTGCTTCTTTCCAGATCAGTACAACAGGGAATTAATTTAAGTGACCTTTAATTGGGTTTAAGCAAACCAAGAAGGTGCTTGCACATGTTCTTCATTGGTACCCTAGTAGATTTCAACAAACTTTCACAATTCAACAGGCATGTTTCTTGATGTTCCAGTTGCACAACAGATGGATCTTATAGCATTTTGTGAAAAATTTCTTGATACACATTTTTCTCAGAAAAGAGGGTCCAATAATGCATTTCTAAGAAGTTGAGCTCCATGCATTTCCTATTGAGTGCAGAGGCTCCTGGGGGATCCTTCTCACCAGAATGACACATTTTGGTGATTTTCTCATACTTGCAGATGGAAGACAGTTTTGTTGAAGGAATAAAGTTTGTCAAGGAAATCATCATTCTCTCAGACTTACTGCAAAAGCCATCTGCAATAATCACTTCTCTTCTGGCTGCAGTGCCAGTTGCCTGCTGTGCAGTTGCATCTTCTCTACCACATGAAGTTGCTCTTCATCCTGTTCTGTGGCTGATCAAGGAACCATCCTGATCTCAGATATTTGCTGCTAGGTAGCAATGGTATTTTTGTCAGCTGATCAGAATTTGATTTTAGTCTCCATTGGGGTTGGTAAGGCATAATTGAGGAGTTCTCTGGAAAAGGGGCGTATGTGCCCATACGCCCTTTTTCCATATCAGTGTCCATGTGCTGCTTTACTAGTAGATGGCTTGTCATTGGATAGGGTGGTCAGCAAGTAGTTAAGATGCATATTCAGCAAAGGAGAAGCAGATTTTCCTATGCTTTCACCATATAGCAGGCCATCTGCCTGGCAATTTCAATATGGCTGCCTCCATGAATTAGCACTTGCATATGAACGATTTTGGTGGAATTATTTTGTCCTTTTAAACTGAAAGTGAAAATGAAGAAACCAGACATGAGGAAAAGGAAAGAAAGAGGCCCAGTCATTCAAGCCTCTGGAAGGATACGAGAAGTTAGAGATATCCATGAAATAGTTGCAGATTCAGATGATGAATGCATTAATACTGGATCACTACTGAGTAATTGGCAAATGAAACGTGTCCTGAATATTCACATTTTCCTTGCTATTCTTTAAGAGAGAATTTATTTAAAATCTGATGATGCATTTATTGATTAATTATTATTTTTAACAGGAAAGAAGTGGTGAAAGACTTTGAAAAAGTTCAGCAGCACAGATAGGAAAAAAGGGCATATATGCATAAGCACTTTCTGCCTGCATCCCAGCAATGTGAGAGAACGAGATTCATTAAACCCTTAGTTCATTTTGAAAAATGTATAATATTCCATTTTACTGATAATTAAGTTTTGACCAGCTTCAGATTAGGTATGGGAAGTTTTTATCATTTATCTCAAATTGCATCTTTTGCACATATGCCCTTTTCTAGATAACTCCTCAATTTTTGTTTTCATCAAGCAATCCAAAATTATTATTATTTTTTTTTTATCAGTGTAGCAGCACTTTTTGCCATATTTTGTCACTGTGACTAAAGATCTTGATTTATGGGGCAAAAAAGTCTAACCTGATTTTAAAAAGTTTCAGCTAAATTTTCATAATTGAAAAAAAGTTGTCAGTCACTGTTGATAATCCCATCAATGGGAAGACAGGCATTCAAGCCTGGTCGATCCATTTGATTTATCTGTCAAATTATTTGCTGTAGGGGAATGATTTTTCAATGCCACATTTTGTCTGATCTGAGTTGCAAGATGGAAGTGAACAGAAGCAAGAGTTTTGGGAATGGCAACTTGCAAAAGAGAAAATTATTTCTACTTTGTTTGCCTCTGGAATGTTTTACTTTCAAATGCATTAAAATGTAAAATGTATTGGTAGAATTCAGGAAAGCATGACTAAAGATAAAATTCATCTATTATACGAGATCTTGATTTATTGTTCTCATCCACTTTTCATCTGTGCAAATTTTTATTTTTCATTTTTGTCAGCATGACAAAAAGCAAAAAAAGTTTATGAATAATGAAAGGAAGCACCCTGTGGAGCAAGAGACCAGAGAGAACAGAATTCTTTTCTCTTCAGCAACCTGAAAGAAGAAACAGTGTATTGAAAGTATGACTCCCAAGTCACTTGCACATTGTCACTCAGTTCTGAGATCCATGGTGGAAAATTTGTAGGGTTCTTCACAGAACTCTCAAAACAATGATGAAGTTAGTTTGTCATCTTCAGTCATACTTAAGCACACATATGGTCACCACAATTCTCTCTCTTTCCATAATTTTCATGAAGCACATTGAGGGTAAGTGTGACAAGTATCCCCTTTGGTACTTGAAAGCACACTATGCCATCAACAAAATATGCATTAAGAGGGACCTTGTCTTAGTCCTGCTTTGCATGCCAGTCAAATTCTATTTCTTCAGCAGGAATATATTTTATTGGATATTTGAATACCCTATTTCACCTCCAGCAGTAAATCGAGCACACTTATTTAAACTTTCCTCGAATTATTAATATTACCAAGCAATCCAAATTTGGAGTGATGGCAAAATTCCATGTTCTTCAAAACTTGCCCTTTTTGAAGTTGGATCACTCCATCCTAATTCACCCTTAGAAAAAGTATCTACTTTTTTTAAAAATTGGTTCAGGGATCAACTGCGTAAGACTTCACCTAATTTTCTGGAAATAGGTATTGGTAACAGGAGTCTGACTTTTTTTTCCTTCAAATCCATATTCAACTTTCAACTCGTACTTTGTATGCAGTAGCGTTTCAAAGTCGAAGTACCAAAAAACACAGTGAACAAGCAATGTGCATTGTTCAATACCAAGACCTTCACTTCGCCGCGTTACAAACATTGCTGGAGCAAACGGCAGACGATATACTGGCGAGTTTGATTTGCAATAAATCGCATTATCAGGTGAATGCCCCAGATATGTTTAACTTTAACTAATCTGATCTCATAATGGTCCTCTATGGAAATTGGTTTGGTGAAGATACTCATTTCCATAGACGCCCATTATGAAACCGGATAAAAGTTAAACGGATCTGGTGCATGTCACCCATTTTAATTTAATTTAATTTTGTTAGACCTGGTGGTGCAAATTTTGATTTGTAACATCTGCCACTTTACGCAAATACTCTACCGTTTTTATTTCTTTCGGAGGGGCCCTCCTGGAAGAGTGAAGTCCGGGGCAACAGCCACCTTTGCCCCCCCTCCTTAATCCGTCCCTGATTCCCGATTATGATTTTCTAATGGTTAACTCTAAGTTGGCTCAAGTTCGGGGTGTGAAATAAAAAAAAATATTTTGAGGGACTTACACATTTTTTGAATCGGAAGCCAAGAAACCTGTTCAAGAGAAAGTTGGGTTTTTTTTGGCTTCTCCCTCCTCCCTCACAGACGCCTGTGAGGATAAAACCGGGGGATTGAAATTTAGCATATCTGAAAACCCCTCGGTAAACTGACTGAGAAATGCAGGATGTTCCATAACACCCTGCATTTCTCATTTTCATCATGGACGACGTGACATATATGATGGGGGAAGCCCATCCGTGCATTGAGTAAGAATTGCCTGGAGTTTCCTTGAGCTAGATTATGTCTCTAAAAAAAATGCATTAATTAGAACGACTTCTTTCCTTCGGCTTGTACGCGGAAAATTATCGAATTGAGGATGAAAGTTTCTGCAGAAACATTCATTAGCATTTGGGGAATCGGGAGACATTTAGCAGGAGGATGAGCGCGACCTCGCTTAAATTGTGAGAACGTCATATTTGTTGAATGAACTGCTAGATGTCAGGCCAAATGGAAGGCCTGAACGTGCATGCTTGTCCATCCAAGGACATCCAATGGTAGACTAAGAATTTTTCCTTGGAAGTTCCTTGGTTGAACGTCCAATATATGCCCAAAGACGGACTGACACTTCATTTTGTTCGTAATGTCGAACTCTAAATGGAATCCTGCAGTGGTCCAATTATAATGTCACATTATCGACATAATGATTGAAGTTACTAGGTTTCGACCTAAGGTTTGAAGCAAAAAAATAACTCCAGAAATCCCAAGGTCGGATGTTCTCAACGCTGTTCCTTAAAAACCGTCATTCAATAAAATGCGTTGAGCGTTCGATGTAGGAAAATTCTGCTCGGATAAGGCTCAGAATGAATGAGAAGATATCGATCCATGGCGATGACATCCTACGTACTTTCAAAGGATGACCGCTTCTGGACTTATATCCATCTCTGGAAAATTGGACTGTCCATGGACGAATTTTGGATCACCCATGGCTGCTTCCCAGGTAACATTTTTCGTGGGGCTCACGTTGGCCCAACGTGGTCCTCCAACGTCAGGATACGTTGGACCAACGTAGGTTGTTCACGTAGGCCCCACATGAAAGTGACCGGTGGGCCAACGTGGGGCCAACGCTGGCAGTAAGTTGGACAGCAACGTATAACCCACTTACCCAAGAAGCTGGTTTTGGCTCTATGTCATAATTTCGTACCATATACTTAATTCCCTATCCAGTGGAGGTATTCCCATCTGTAGTACGGAACCTGTGCTCTGTACTATAACCTACCAAGGACATGTATATATACTCTGATAGGCAGGAGACATAGGACAGTACATACGTGGATCTAACCCTTGACTGTACTTATTACAGTACGTGTCAGAGGATGGCCCACCTCGTACGGTTCCATGAAGTAACCGCAATACCAGTCCTTCATTTCCTCCAGCCATGGAGATGAGGAAATAGCGGAAATGAGTTCACGGATGTTCTCTCTATGTTTCAGATCTCCTTTTCGATTAAATCTTCCTGTCTTTTTTTTTTTAAGAATAGGAGCTAATAGGGGACTGGCCCCTCTCCCAGATGGTGGGTACACCATCCCGCCAGTCCCAGTGAAACCCTCCTGCGAGCGGGCTGGCAGATGCAAAGACCCCCTCGAAGCTTATTTAGACAATGGGAATGGCCCCCATTGTCCAGGTCGGAGACCGAGGTTTCTCCTGTCTGTTTTACTGATTACTCATTAGTTAGGACAGTTGCAATAGCAACCTATAAAAAGATTAGACCTACTCATTAACTTTTAAAGAATGAAGACAGGTTGGGGCTATTATAGACCCACTTTTAAAGATTATTAATTCCTATCTATTTAATAATGGTTTTATATAAGTTTTAGGTACCTATCAGGTGTCCCGAGAGCTACTTGGGATTAACAGGTGCCAGCTGTTAAGAAAACATTATCAGGCTCCCTGCTTGTCCCGATAGATAGAGAGGATAGCTGTTTAATAAGGCGGATCAGCTGAAAAGAGAGAGATCCTACGATTAACGCTGAGCTGCTTAATTGGTGGGGGATAGAAGCGATTAGGATAGTTTTGGCTACAAAGATGTAAGGGGTGGATAAAATCAAAATGCCCTTGATGGGGTATCTATACTGCTGGATGAGTTGAAGAATGAAGGATTGGGAATGGCCTGTCTAAAAAACGGCCGGGGGGACAAAGGAATGGTCAAGGGGGAGGTGAGGGTTGGGGGGAGCATGGCTGAATAGTTGAATCACTTGAGAGATCATCAAGTGTATTAGAGATATAATCATCCCAACTGGTGATACGACGGCGTATGCTGAAGATGGAATATTCAGCTCTGAACGCTCGTCGTCGTCCTTGGTGCTTTGTGTTGTACGTTGTCAGGTATTTATGCACGTCCTCAGGGCAAGTGTCCTCATAGAAAGAAAGCGCTAGTTCTGAGGCGTACACGTCAAGAGGTGTAAGGCCATTGACCCTATAGATGTAATCGGAGGGGTAGTAGTGTGTGATTCGATAAGCGAACTTAATCGCAGCCCGTTCGATGCGTGCGAGTGCGTCCAAGCAGTGGCGTAGCTACTGAATGTGCAGGCGGTGCGACTGCACCTGGGCCCACGGGCCAGAGGGGCCCAGGCGCCGAGCTACGAAGAGGGGGGCGTTGGGAGCCCCTTGGCATCGGGACGAGGTGAAAGCCAGCAACCGAAAAGGAAGGTCAAAAGGAATCAAAGTTCAACGCGACACTGCACAGAGACATCTCGCAACTGGGACGCCGCTTTGTGTGCTGAATGAAGTGGTGCCTACCTCAAATACCATACACAGAGGGTCGGATTAAGGAGGGGGGGGGGGGGGGGGGGGGGGGGGGGGGGGGGGACCTCAGTAAGTTTGCACGATACATTGGGACGATGCTTGCTGTATAGTAAATAACATTGCTGAATTAAAGAGGGGGGGGGGGCGGGGGGGAAGGGCTGTTGCCCTGGGCCCCGCTTTTCCAGGGGGCCCTCGAAGGAAATTTAACACGTTAGGTATTTGCGTAAAGTAGCCAGGGGGGGGGGGGGACCAAGAATTCACTTGCTCCTGGCCTCGCAACTTCTTGATCCGGCTCTGCATTCATCCTTTCACTAGTGGCAGATCCAGAAGAGGGAGGGCGACTGCCCCTCCTCTGGCCAAGTTCGCAGTCTGTTTTTTTTTTTAGTTCAGAAAGCACATAAATTAATGTTTAGGAGCTACTATGAAATGGATATTCAAGGTTTTTATCACAGACGAAAATTGAATAAGGCATTAGGACAGAGGGTGGTGGCAGATGAGAGGAGGGCGGGGAGGGGGGTGCCAAGACTTTGGTTTGTGCAATTAGGTGGATCTCCGAGATCTGGATGGTGGGCGTTTAGATCTCCAATGAGCAGCGTGGGACCATGGAGATTACTGATAAAATCCAGGTTAAGGAGGGAGTTGAGTCATGGTGGTAGGGTGGAAAGTAGGCATGCACGATGTTAATGTGCCTCTGTGGGGATCTAACCTGCGCAGCTATGACTTCGATGCCATTATTCCACACGTGATCTATGAGCGTGGAATCCAGAGGAGTGCACATAAACAGCAGAGCCTCCATGGTATGGTCTTGGAAAAGTTGGCTTATGGCAGTAGAAGTCACGTATACAAGGTGCAGATTTCTGTTTCAACTCATTGAGGCATATGACTAAAGGTGTTACTTCATCTAAATAATGAAGGATCTCCGCTCTTTTGTTCTTGAATCCTCGCTCATTAACATGCAGGATTAATGGAGGCGTGTTTGATGAGACACCGTCCATTGAGTGAGGAGTGGAATAAGAGCGAGGAGAGGTATATTTATATTTATAAAGTGAAGGTAAGACGACTTAAGTTTTATTTGCATTGTGTAAAATTATGGTATATGCACTGCTTTTCAATGGCTTTCGATGGTTCATACTTTTCAATGAAATTACGTAAAGTTATTTCATATTACATGCTACAGTTTTGTTTTGTTGTAAGACTTACTGTGCATACCTTGTATTATTTTCCTTTCTTGCATATCAGTTTCGAAATATTTACAATGTAGGACTTCTTGAAGAGAGTTTGCAGAAAAGAATACAATATTCGACGAACGAAATGTTTCCATTTTAAATCACAAAATGATTATAATATAATATATATTATATTATATCCTATAATATAGGGTGGCCATAAAGTCTGGAAACATAGGATCGTATTAAGGATATATTAAGATAATGTACAAATAAACTAAAATAAGTGTTCAAAATGTTCTCCTGTTGAATCAATGCAGATCTGAAGGCGACGTTTGAAGTGTTGATGAACCCGATTAAGTAAATTGGCATTTTCATTCTAAAAAATTATCTTAATATATCCTGTTTCCAAACTTTATGGCCGGGTGTATTATGAACATAGTGACATCACATCATTATCTTTGTGCAGTAATTTGTAATAAAATAAACCGATTTCACGGATGACAACGCTTTTTTTTTTGCCCCCCCGCGCGCATGGGAAATTATGTAGCTCTCGAGGGTTCTTCAACTGGCCGAGTTCATACATTTGAACATTTTGCAATATGCTTTAAAAAAAAAAAAATTTCTCGATGGTCAAAGGCCGTGAGATCTTCAAAATCAATAGGTCCCGAGAAAAATGTTTCAACCATGAGCGAAATCCGTTGAGAAATGCGACCTATAGAGATGACGGACATTTTCTAAAAAAAATTCCAAGTTAGGCGCCTCATAGGCGAGCTTCGCCCAATCAGCAAATGATTCTTTATTTTTAGCACAATAGTTTTTAAACTATTGTACCTGAATTCAAAAATGTTCACA